CTGTATGTTAGATGTTATGTTGAAAACATTGGTGCTGTATTTGCAATAAGGTTGGAGTTGACTTCCACTCTGTCCTTGGGCAAGAAATCCAGAAATCTATGCGAATTGGCCTGATCACTATTGACTGCAGCGTTATGGACTACTCCCAAGGAAGCTGATATGTGTTCCATACTGTAGGCATGTTCCAATCAGCTTTAGATTGAAATTATTATTTTTTTCAATTTAGTTATTGTTGACATACTTGTATAGAAAACTTGATTATTCTGAATCTGGTATTTAGCCTATCCTTCTACATCAGGTACATATGTCACAGTGTTTGGCTTCACAATTAGGTACTAGTTTCAAGCCAGCCTCCTAAACATTGGCTTAATTCTATTTTAGGCCAAATTCTTGGCTTCTACACCAGGATTTACCATAAATATACTTTAGTGCCCCCTTTTTTGTGATCAACAAGGAAATAGAAGAGCTATTATTGTGTCTTTTCTTTGTACACATCAAATTATTTTCCCACCAGTATACTTCACCACAATATTGGGAAAGTTTAAAGGATGTAGAAAACTTAAGCAGTTTACAGTAAATTTAAAATATGACAGGTGAACAAACCATTTTGAAAAAGTCAGCAATAAATTAAAGCTGAATCATGGATTTAGAATCTTGAATGTGTCTGTCTGGTCAGATGTTAATGAATTGCAAATGCCATTGGCTAGTGATCAATCTTGGATAAATTGCATTTCAGTTATTGAATTGGATTTAGGAATTGAACACAAGTAATCCAAAAATATGGAGACAGATTGACTGTCGCAGCACTTGTATAGTTTGTTATTGATTTCACTGTATCCATGATAGTTATACAGATAGTTGTATGGAAAAAAGACGTATTTTCAGAGTTCATAATATTATTACTCTTCCATCTTGTATCGTGATTTATGAGCAATTGGTTTTGTAAATTCTGACCACACAATACAGTTATTGATATACTGATTTATTTTTTATACCATGCCTCATCATACATACACAGACAGGGAAATATACGATTTGTTTCACAATCCAAATGGTAAGACTAAATGATTTAGCTATTGTGTTGTACACATTATTTTTGTATGAACATTTTGTGAATTATGCATGAAAAATACTGTAAAGCTGTTTCAGTATCCAATTAATGGTAAACTTTTTGTCAAGTGAATGTTTTGAATCAAATTCCTTTTCTTGTGAATACAGTAGTATTATGTATTGCATTATTAAAGAACTGTAGTATGTCAAGAGTGCAAGGCTGCTTTGGGGATTATGGAGGCCTAAAGGAAATTTCTTCTAGTTTTCAACTTTTCCTCCCACTAAAATTTATTTGATGACACTTCTTTTATGGTTAAGGTTATCCATGCCTGTGGCGGATTTAGAGGGGGCGTAAGGGGCGTACGCCTCCCCTATTTTTTGTAAAAAGTAATTTTGTAAAGCTTATCAGAAAATCACCATGCAAAATATTAAATATCAATCAAATACAAACTCAATGGCGCTAGAGGTTTAAGGGAGATTTGCCACTTACCAGGGACTCTTCCCTGAGACTTTACTCAGTTTGCACATTCATGCTTCCTCTTTCTTTACCTGGCTGGATCTGCCCCTCCAGAGACCCTCAGATAATAATGGTTCTTTTTGGGCAATTATACATTTTACTTGCCCTCTCCTCACAGGCCTTGGAGTAGCAGTATTCTGAGCACCAACTGGGATATAACAGCTCTTCTAATGTTTAGTTTCCCCCTCCGCCAGAAGGATATTATTTTCTTTTTAACTTCATAAAGGTTTTGCACTCAAGGTCCTAGAAATACCTTAAACTATAATGCACCTTTTCTAGTACTGAATTGCATGGCAGAAAAATATTAATGAAAGGAAGCTTAATTGTTTACAGTCTATTGCATGTTCAGTACAATTTGTAATGTATAGCTGTAGAGTTATTTTCGTTATCGGGTAAATATACAGTATTGTAGTATACATCTGTTTTATCTGCAGTACCTGTACATGTTCACATAGTGGCTAATCATTACATTATTCATGCATTATTATAACCAGCAGAAATATACATACTGTACTTGAACCACCACCATGCTTAAACCTAATGTTTAAAAATAGCTCTCTTTGGTTTACTAAATACAGGCAATTTGTACTGTACAATATACAGTACACCGTAGTAATACATGAGTGTACACCGTCCAGTAGATGGTACCTAGAATAGATTGTTAATTTGCACATGTAGAGAATCGGGATAAGAAAAAATGGCAGTGAATATAAATTTGCAGTGTATGCTTAACTGGTAAAACTTTTTAAAAATTGAGAAAAAACTTGAAATAATAAAATATGTCTTTGAATTACTGATAAACAAATCATACAGGCCAACTTTGAATAAGAGCGATAAAAAATTATTAGTTTCAATGATTTACAGACATTTGACTACAATGTCTGTACAGAAATAAAGGGTATCCAATAATGGTAGGAATATATTATAACATTATTCTTTTTATAAATTTTAAATGAATTGAAAAAAACAAATAGCCAAGTAACTAAAATATCAAAGTAAGCAATTTAGTACAAATCTCCCTCCAATGAAAGACCACTTCTGGGACTGGGATCTCCATTGTCTTTTTTTTAACAGCTTTGGTTTCTAATTAGAATAATAAAGATAAAAGACATAAATGTCAATTTGGGACCACAGAAAAGGTGGTTTTTAATTGGAGGTAGTCTTTAATTGGAGTGGTCTTTAATTAAAGGGAGACCAAATTTTTTTAAAAACTTGTCAAGTTTATGAGATTTTAGAGACGCAGTAAAGGATAGACAATGGCTTTTAACACATTACTTATTTTATGCTTTGAACTTTCCTTTGGAAAGTTTCTGGTGTTTAACTTTACATTGCAGTTAGTGTAGATATGTTATATTGGCTGTAAATACTGTACATGTACCTGTAGGTCAATAAATTGCTATTGTAGTTTATGGGCAATAATTCTGTATAATCTGTGTCTGTAATAGGAAACTACCGGTATTGTACAATGGCAGTACCCATACTGGTACCCTCATTTCTCATCTACAGTATACACAGTATTAACAGGTTTAAACATTTCTTAAAGAAGCACAGAATATCAATGCCCTTCTGCATTATTAATTGTAATCTAATTAATATATTTTGTCATCAATAATTTTATCTTTGATATATTCATCATCATCAACACCATTATTATTATCAATCCAATATCACTGTCATCTTCATTCATGTATCAATCAATATTTTATACTTAATCATAATATGTTAATATCATTATCATCTTCACTTCATTGATATGTTGTTGTCAATTATTAATTCTACTAATCGCCCCGGTTTAAGTACAAGAGGGTAGCCCAGCACAACACAGGAGTGGATCCAGTAGAGGAGTGGGAAGGGTAACGTTCCAGCCCCGTTTTTAAAAATTTCAATGCAATGTTATGTGCCACCATTGTGCACCACCCCACCTCCACTGTTTTAAACATTTTGGATCCATCCTTGATCAACCTGCATCATAACTCCTCACAAGGTCTATTCGGCAAAGACACTAAAAAAAAAAGGTGTCCTTTAGAATTTTAATGACATGTTAAACATAACATCCACAACAATTCCCTCCTTAACTTCCCGTTCATTTAACAATATACATCACAACCTCATTCAACACCGTGTGGAGCACAGGTTTAGTATGCTAGGTATTATAATTGTCATAATACATCACTTTCATTATAATCAACGTCTTCATCTTTATCATTGGTCATTGTGGTCGGTTGCATTGCCATATCTTCATCTTTTTCATTTTCGTGGTATTCTTCATCATCGCTGTCGTCGTCATTTTCTCATCATTATTTATAATATTGATACACTGTATCAGCATCATCATCACTGCTCTCATCACTAACACTTGTCAGAACTACTCAGATAGTCATTATTATCAATATCTATATAATCAAAGTCATCATCATACTATCAATTATAGTGTCTTTGTCATTGTTTATATTAAAATGATTGCAATAATTATAAGGCTAGCACTAATACCGTATTACGTTATATTGATTGTGGTCTTCAGTAAATTACTAATTGTAACACAAGGCAAAATCTTAATACCATAATCTAAATTTAAACTATGTTGTAATTGAGAGATTGGAGACAGACTTGAAGCCAGCATTGCTCATTATCGTGAATACTTTCCTGTTAAAATCACATGATTAATTCATCCTTACCATGGCCTACAGTGCATCAAATAAGACAAATTGCAGTGCGGTACTGTGTTGTCTTTAAAATGCAACATTGTTCAGCTGGATTGTTGAATGTGTTTAAGATTTTCATTATTTATTATGCATTGCTTTCATGAATGTACATACATCTAAGAGTGACTTACTGTCACTTCTCGCTAGGAGACAAATAATAGTTGTCTCAGTCGTTAATCCTCACAGTATATGCTTGCTGCTCTTGAATAAAGGCGCCACAACAAAAATGGTTTTTTTTTTTCTATATAGCAAGGGTACCAAGTTTGAAGAAATCCCTTCCATGAGATCTTGTTAAATGAGCTTCCAAACATATTTAATTTTTAAATTTTGCTGCGCATAGTGATGTCAAATATGGCTGACTTCAGTGAGACAGTTGATAATAAAGTAGTAAAAACATGCAAATATTATGCATTTGCTTGAGATGGGTTATTTTCCAGGGAAATTTGTGCTTGCTTGCGGGAGTACGGGAGGCCGTCCCAATTTCCAGGAGATTCTGGTGAATTCAGGGAGACTGTCCTCATTTCCGAGAGACTCCCACGACTTCCGGGAGACTTGAGGACACCTGATACACTTTTTTTTTTATGAGAACCAGTAAAAATTTGCCCTGCTCTCAAATAAGTTCCTATCAAGATGTTTATTGTTGAGGATTTTTCAGGGTGTCTATTCGAGGAAGGTTTTCAGTTTTTTTGGTCTAAAATGGATACATATGCACTCAAAACAGCCCCTAATTTCATTGTAAATGTGGGTGGAGGTGCAACATATCAATACCGTCAGAGTATGTTTATATAAAGTCTTATTGTCATTGATGCCAACCAAGTTGGGAAAAAAAATGTAATTCTACTGGTGTAGAAATAATATGTTGAGAAGGATATTGCTTCCATTAATTTTGATAACAGTTATTTAGGTGGCGTTTATTCAAGGAAAAGATAAACGCTCCTGGATATTCAAAACAAGATGTTTATTTGTATAAATATGGTAGTTTATTTTAAATAAGCATCATGGTACAGTATTATTATACGAAGTGTCTATGCGTACGCCGAGTCGTAAGCATTAATCATAGGCTATGCTTACGTCGATCTATTTGAAGGGCGCCGCTTGCTTCGTGAGTACGAAAACGTCCTATTGAGCATGTGCAAATTTTTTTTTTTCTGTAGCGCGCACTTGGTGAAGTTTCAAGATGGCTATGAAAAATTGTCAGAAGTTGTATCGAGTTAGGAGAAAGAAAATCACAAAAATTTATATAAACGATCTTCATGTAGCATCAATTCTGCCTAAAAACGTGCACCTAAAAGAAACTTCAAACCCGAATTTAAATTCTATTCAATCGATTACGCCTGCATAGTTAATATTGCCGTAGTAAGGCATGTTTATAAACTCCTACCTTTTCAAGTGCTAATTATTGCCATGTGACCTTGAATGAGCTGATTACAGGACATCTTATCTCACCATGTTAATAATCAGAGCTAAGTTAGTACAGCCCATATTTCGTGGTACAGTTAGAAATCATTTAGTTAGTAGAGAAAAAGAAAGTTATTTTTTAAGAGAGTTTCCTTTCAAACATTTCAGTTGTTAAAAACCTTGGTGCTTAAACCGAAATATACTACAGTGTTTTTGTATATTAATAACAAAATTGGATTGAAACTGTGTCACGCTCTCTTGTAATTATTGTATGCGTACTTGTTCATAATAGGAAAATTAAGAATTTTATAGGGACACGGATCAAGAGATGTTGGAAATATCGGGGTGAGGGATCGAGATAAGAGCACCATAGGGGAAATTCTTGTT